GCCGAACCTGCTGGGAGCCGGTGTAGGTAGGGCTGCGCTCCCGAGGAGCGGCTCGACCCGGGGCGAGAACGAGAGAAGAACGGGCATGTTCAGTTGCAGGGAATTTTCGCTTGTTTTAGTCTCTCCCGGGAGTTTTCTCCCTCGGGCCACGCCGCGTTTGGCCCGTGCCCCGTGCTGCTCTCGCCCTGAGGTGTCCGGGTCGGACCGGCCTCGCCTCATCGCGGTGGCTCCGTCTCGGGCAGGGAGCGTGTCGAGCGCTCGGATACGCCAGTGGTGGGATTAAAAGATCGGGATTGTTCTTTGACTGTTAGCCTGTGAATCCCGGTGGAGGACACTTCCTCCCCTGCTCACTCGTGCTTCCCAGCGGGCATGCGGCTGCCGTCCCCTCTGCAGGGCCTGAGGCAGAGCCCTCAGCTGGAAGTGCTGCTGGAGACACGGTTTGAACTCTAGCCACTGGTTGTCTTGTGATAACACATAAATTACTATTTTCCCCTTTAAAAAATGTGTGGATATGTTAACAGTTGAACTTTTCTCCTCAAACCTCTACTGCACTGAAATCTGCAATGAAATGTGTTGATATTTGTGATTTAAGTTTGATCAGTAAAATCAATCTTGGGAGAGTGGTGGAAAGTTTTCACTGCAATGTGTGCTGTGCAATGCAGAGCAGGTGCAGTTTGTAAGATAATGCAAAGTCTTGGTGTTCTTAACGGGGACGTGGAAGGTGGTAGAACTGTGCTGTGCTCCTGCTTTAGCCTGCCTGGCTCTTATTCCTCATAGGGAAAGGTGGAAGGTAAATTTCAACACAGGACTTGGAAAAAAAACAACTCACAAGTCTTGCAGTTTGGAGAAGACCAGGATGTCCCTGAGGTACTCAAGGCTAATTTGGTAAGGATGTTTTAAGGAAAGTACTGATTTTTTGATATTTTTCAGTCTCTAAAATGAAAACCAAACATTACTTGCTACCAGGATTATTCACTAAAGTCACCTCCTTCAATTAAATCAATAATGAATATGTCTGGCAGAACCTGTGTGGTAAGAATAAATTTCACTCAAGTTCACTGTTTAATAAGGCGGGATAAGGTGAGACTTTGCACAACGACTTGGTTATGCTAAGATAAGCATGTGAATACACACAAATACACTGGGAGGACATATTAAACAGTACCTGTATAATGAACTGTCCTAGAAACTGTGTCACACTTCAAAAGAGCCAAGTTTTTTTGTGGAAATGTGTCTTGCTGCCAGCT